CGGAAGATGGCCCAGGAGAACCCCAAGATGCACAACTCGGAGATCAGCAAGCGGCTCGGGGCCGACTGGAAGCTGCTGAGCGACGCCGAGAAGCGGCCCTTCATCGACGAGGCCAAGCGGCTGCGGGCCGTGCACATGAAGGAGTATCCGGATTACAAATACCGGCCCCGGAGGAAGACCAAGACCTTGCTGAAGAAGGACAAATATTCGCTGCCCGGCAACCTGCTGGCCCCGGGGGGGGGCAACGCGGTGAGCAGCCCCGTCGGGGTGGGGCAGAGGATTGACACTTATGCCCACATGAACGGCTGGACCAACGGAGCTTACTCCCTGATGCAAGACCAGCTGGGCTACAGCCAGCACCCGGGCATGAACAGCCCGCAGCTGCAGCAGATGCACCGCTACGACATGACGGGCCTGCAGTACAGCCCCATGATGTCCACGGCCCAGACCTACATGAACGCCGCCTCCACCTACAGCATGTCCCCCGCCGCCTACGGCCAGCAGCCCTCCACGGCCATGAGCCTGGGCTCCATGGGCTCCGTGGTGAAATCCGAGCCCAGCTCGCCGCCTCCGGCCATCACTTCCCACTCGCAGAGGGCCTGCCTGGGAGACCTGCGGGATATGATCAGCATGTACCTGCCCCCCGGGGGGGATGCCACAGACCCTTCCGCCCTGCAGGGCAGCAGGTTACACAGCGTCCACCAGCACTACCAGAGTGCCGGGACTGGCGTGAATGGCACCGTACCACTGACTCACATATAAACCTGACTGCTCCGGACGGCTCCCCGTCTAAATCCCTTACCCCACCACCGCTCCCTGACTACACCGGGATGCACGGCAGTGTTGCTCGGCTTAGCGGACTTAATACTAACTTTGGAGAAATTTTAAAAGGAAATCCGTTAGTTGTGTTTTTTTGTTTTGTTTTTTTGTTGTTGTTGTTGGGGTTTTTTTGAAGGAAAATAATATTTGAGCAAGCTGTTATTTTAATAGACCCAACTCCTGCCTCCTAAAAGCCGCTGTGAAGTTTTCAAACCACGGCAACTTCTTTCCTGGTTTCGGCTAGGTTGGGCACTGTTTTATTCGCTTGAAAGTTTTTATAAGTTCTTGCATCTTCCAGTTTGATTTCTAGCGTTGCAATGACATAAAAAACAAAAACCGCGGGCTTTTGTTTTTAAACTCGGTTGTTCACATATCGTTGTTGTTTATTAAGTGTTTTGTTACCGACCCTCGCTTGATTTCTACCCACAATCTGTAGCTTTCACGACTTTTTAAAAGGGGGAGGTGGGAGAGAGCAGAGCTGTGCGGGTCGCAAACGCATTTCTTTTATTTATAGTAAGTTGTATGTCTTGGTTTTTCTTAAGCTGTAAACTTATGTAAATCGGTTTGTGAATTTTACTGTGAACTATGTTTTGACATATCGGATGAAGAAACGTTTCAGTTTTGTTACCGGATTCCTTCCAAGCAAATAAGTCATCGAAATACCCCCTTCCCTGTTCCTAGCCCTCGTTTTGCTTCCTTCTTCCAAACGAAGAGAGATCAATAAATTTTATATCAGGCACGTCGGCGGTCT